CACGCGCACCAGGCCGTGGGGATACTTCCCAACCGCAAACGAAGATTAATAATACAAATAATTAAAACAGTTTGTCATGCCGATGCCGGGAGGATTACCCGTGCGAGGTCAAAAAAGTATTGCAAGGTCCCCTGCCCGCCACACAAACTTGCTCCTGCAGGACAGTGCGCTAGAGGGTGAGGTGGCCACTTGAGGATCCTTGGCCGCCTCACGCCCTGCGCTCCATCGTCCTGATGGGGAAAGGACTTTGCCATGAGTTATAAAACAACAAAGTCCAGCTTTTCTGGTTGAGTGGCTGGCCCTGCAGCTTGTGTCCCTGTTAGCGGAAGGCGGCATGCCAACTGCTCTCTCTCCCTGCTCTCAGGAAAAGAAAAGCAGGTGAAAATAAATAAGTAAATAAATAAATAAACAAATAACGGAAAAAGGACACTGGGCTCCTTCAGGACCCCAGGTGATTACAATCTTGGTGTTTGGTTTAACCCAAATCCTGTAGCTCTAATAGCATGCACTTCAAAGTAGCAGTGTGCCAAGATTAGCTCAGTCCTCATTTGGAAAGAAAACAGTCACCTGTTTTATCATGCAGATAATCTTCTCTGTTGTCTTCTCCATTGATGTTCTTCTGACATCATCCTTTCAGTAATGACTAGCTAGAAAATTCATTGGTACAGTTCTGAAGTACTGCTCTGACTGGCTGCTACATGGTGATACAGCAGCTCAGGTGCAGATATATACCGATTGAGCAGAGGGACTCCATTATGGTATTACCAACTGTACACTGTAAATCAATGTATTGGTTTATATATATGTGTGTATATATATATACACGTGTGTGTGAGTGTGCATTCACACAGAAGATCCTGCTTATGTGATTATTCATTCAAGACTTCATTCAGATCACATTTTGAAGCTTTTTTCTGGCATTATGAAGACCAGAAACTTTTTTTTTGCCTTACTCGTTTCTGACTCTTCATCTCTAAGATCACTAAAAGTGCTTTCCACAATTGCTCTCTGAAGTTTCTTATTTTCAGTTTTGTCCTGTGTCTTCTCCAACCTATGTCCCTTAAGTTTCTTTGAAAAGACAAAGTCTGAAACAACCTCTTGCTCATATGACCTTCAATCATTGGGAGTATTCTTCCACCTTCATCTGTCAACTGAAATACTCTTCTCCCTTGGTTCCATGACTCTGTCCTCTCCCCTTTTTTCTTGCATTTTTAACCAATCTATCAGCACATCTTTGAGGGGCTTCTCCTTACATGTCTTCCAACTTCCAGTAGATATTAACCAGGCCTTTGTCTTTGGATCCCTCCCTCTGGTCCATCTACATTTTATTCCCAGCTAACATGACTCACAACTACAGTTCAAACAACAATATCTGTCAGAAACTTCACAGCTATGACTCTTTACTCCAGGCTGGTTTGCTTGCCAAACTCTTCACTTGTGTCCCTAGTACTTTCTTACAAATGTTTAATGGGATTTCACCTTCTGCTGAATGCAGTCAGAACTGCCCTGTGAGCGCCACGCCTGCATGGTCAGATACCTGAAGATGTGAACCTAAAATGTGCTTCGAGTCACCTGACTGATGAGTCATGTGATGAGTATCTGGATCTGCGAGAACATACATTATTTAAGTTTTGTGCATGGGTGGGGATCTGGGATGTTTAGGCTACCTCTGTATTTCTGAGCCTGTTCCTCATTCTTTTGTATTGTGGCATATGGTGCCTGTGTCATAATCAGCCCAGACAGCACACAAATAGTCCATCCTCCAATCCCTGAACCATCTGGATAAAAATTGGCTAATTGACAACCTTAATGTCATTTTAAGCTCAGCATAGTTAAAATAGAGTTGAGTCTTCTCCCACAAGTACTCTCTACTTTATCTATTACAATATTATCTGCCTGCATGTAATCATCTTTTACTCAGACCTTTCCCTAGTCCTTTATGTTTAGACTATGTCTAAATCTATCCACACAGATAAAACTCCCATATTCTCAAGTCTCAGTTACTGCAAGATCGTTTTCTTTAGCCTTGGAAAATATAACCTTGACTTGCTCATACCCATTGAGAATGCTGCTACAGAGATCGTTTTTCTTAGTCTGTCATTTTCACCATGTTATTCATCTCTTTTCATCTCTCTACTAGTTCAGCCTTCTCTATCATGTCAGTCCTTACCTACATGTCTTTACTTTGAAAGGCCTGGATAGCCTTTCCTCACCTTACTTTCCTCACCATTTCTATTCACTGCTGAGATCTAACCACAGCTCCAATCAGCTCATGGCGCCAGCTTTCACAACCCACTTGTAACATTTTTAAACAACTTCTTTTGTGCATTCTCTTAGGCTGCCTCCTGTTTCTAGGGCCCTATTAATAGCCACAAAGTTATCTGAGTATTTGTCTTCAAAACCCTCCTTAAAACTTTCTCTCATGTAATGTCAACAATATAGTGTCATGTTTTCTTAGGCTACCTCTTCTGTCTGTACTCATCAGTTCTCCCATTTCATGCTTTGACTGCAAGGTCTTTAGGACACGGGCCATCCTTTGTGTTGGATTCTGATCCATGACAGGATCTTGTAGTGCTAAGGCAATGCAAATAATAAATACAGATATGGGACTGAAATGCCAAAGCAAACCTAGGTATTATGAGACTGATGATAACTTTGTGCAGTTTGGGAGCATAACCATACCTGATCATAATATTAACTTGTTTTTCTATTATTCTAGAGAGTAGAAGGGCAAAACTAAGTGGAGATGGGAAGTCTGCATGTTTAAATCAAGCCCATAGGTCAAGTTAGAGATTTAGCAAAATTTTTCATTCGATTATAGTTGCTGATGTGACAGATAGAATGGAAAAGACAATGAAGTGTTAGTAAGGACAGTGTGTCAGAGTGTTTTCCTTTTACTAGCTAGATAGTCAAAAAGATATGGTACATCAGTGATTCTTTTGCTTTTGTCACACTGTGCCATTTACTTACACACTTTGTTTCCTGTTATTGTCCTTTCTGTTTGCTAACTTGATGTTTATTTTTGTGTCTGCTAAATAAAGACTGCCAGATTTAATTAAGCTGTACTTTAAGTCCTCTTTAACCTATTTCTATCTAGCTTTTCCCTTGATTAGCCTAATCATTTCTGTATGAAGTAGCATGTTACCAAATAAAAAACACCTATAGCACCCTAAAAAACACCTTCCCCCTGCTGCTTAATTCACAACAGCAATAAGGTGAGTTATATAAGAGGCTTGTTGTATTTCAGGATCCTGTGAATCCCATGGGCTGGAAATAGCAATTGTATTTTGGGAACCATTTGCAGAAACACTGGCTGAATGTACATACTTGTTATTGTGAAACCAGGCAGAAGCTAGCTTTCAGAAACCAAGGTTTTGCATGCACAGTAATGTTGTCACCAAAAGCTGGCCCATGACAACAGAAGCACATATATGTGTATATACATACATGCACACACACACGCACACACACATATATATCACTGGCTAGTAGACAGACTCTGAAAACACCTCTTGTTAGACGTGAATTCTTTGTCTTCAAAGAGAAAATTAGTATCGGGTACTTGCTGATTTCATATTCAGGTTAAAAAAAAACCCAACAACATTATTTTTTCCATGCAAATATTAGAAGCAGTTAGTATGTTTTATCTGAGAAGTAGCTGCATTTCAGAGGAAGGCAAACTCATTCTTACATATATCATATCTAATTTGCATAGTAAGTAAAAGGTTTTAAGAGCACAGGAATGAATTTGGATGAAAGGAACAAACAAATGGAAGTTTGTAATATCCATGAAATTACCAGAACTATTAGTGGAATTAATTTTAGCGCCATCAGAACAATGCCCTAAATTAAGAGAAATAAAAGGAAATCCTCTTAAATTAAATGGCACACAAAGGAATAAGCTTCCAGTGCACTGAAATGTAAAGTGACTTGTTAAAAG